ATCTGCCGTTTCTGCTCACATCTCCCTTTCAGCTACACCCCCCCCCCTTTTATTATCTTCACAAATATGAGGTAGAAGTCGAGCTTGGATACAAACCTCAGCAAAGAAAACCAATCGGAAGCAAGTCTGTCATGCTGAGTCTCCTCAGCCCAGAGGTGAGCCCCTCACGGACCTCGGATGCGAAAGGGGGAGTTGCCAAAGCCTTTTCTCATTTCCTCCCAATTTTCTAAACCAAGTCAGCTGAAACGGGCCCTCACAGTTGTGGAAATATTTGGCCAGATTATAGAAGCAAAGTCCTCCCTCCCTCCCTCCCTAACTCTCTCTCTCTTCCTTCCTTCCTTCCTTCCTAACTTTCTTTCTTTCTCTCCTCCCCACCCCTCCAGTTTCCTGCTTCTTACATAAGTGCACCACCTAAACAGGGACAGACACTCCATTCTCTCATCCGTATGCTTTTCCTGAGTGAGCATTCTATTACTTTTATCAAAGATGGAGATACATTCGTTAACCATCTGGCCGAGCTCTACCTTAATTGGAAGTTAAATGAAAGCTCTCCACACAGTCGTAGGAACTGTGTTTCAATTCCATACTTTCAGCCCATAAATAGAATTTTCATTACTGGTGCCGTTTGAGAAAGCTTCTATTTCTCGCCTGGATTTCTTAAACCTCATTATCCGCAGCTTAAATCCAGGCCATACCGAGTTTTTAAGTCGAAGCTGGTCCAGAGAACCCGTTCTCAGAGATGCTTACGTTGGGATTATTCTGAACTCGAACCTCATTTCAGAAAATCCCGTCAGTGGCCATTTTTAATCGAAGGGACTGAAGCGGAGAAAGGAAACGGGCGAAGAGCCTTTGTTAACATTTCAGGCTGCTGGGCCAGCTGCTCCCGTTTCCCGACTTGAAATATTCATACAGAGCCTGGGCGGAGGGCTGTCCCGGGGGGACACAATAGGGATAAATCCGCGAGCTCTGCAGAAAAGCGAGCTCAGGGCATGGAGGGGGGAGACCTCTCTGCCGGGGGATCCGCATGTCCTCGGGATCCTGGGGGCGGCCAGTGTCCACCCAGGCCCCTTGGGGAGAGGCTGCTGGCCGGCAGGGACTGGTCTGCCCTTCCACCGAGGCTGCCCCAGGGACTGAGGGCCACAGTGATCTGCACCTGATCATGGAGGCACTGACACAGGGTAGGAAACACGGGCCGATTCTGTGACACAGTGTAGATCCCTAGCCTCCGGAGCCTCAGCTGGATCCCCACCTGCAACTAGAGAGAATGGGCACAGGGCAGGCTTTGGAAGAGGGTCAAAGGGGGAAATATCACCGAGGATGTGAGGCCTGTACCAAAAGGAAGGCTCATTAATTGCTTATTGTCATGATTATCCAATGGGGCCAGGGCCTGGTCGATGTGGCTCAGTGGTTGAGCGTTGACCCATGAACCAGGAGGTGCCAGTTCAATTCCTGGTCGGGGCACATGCCGGGGTTGCAGGATCGATCCCCAGTAGGGGGCGTGCAGGAGGCAGCCGATCTACAATTCTCTCTCATCCTTGATGTTTCTCTCTCTCTCTCCCTTGCTCTATGAAATCAATAAAACATATATTTTGAAAGTAATATAAGACTAAGCTTCAGAATACATTCTGGGGCACATGGGACAAATATGTCTGGGGAAATATTCTGCTCTCTAGCTACTCAACACAATGAGCCAAATGACTAGACGTTCAAACAGGGAATTTTAAGATTCCTTGCCGATGATTTTAAACCAATCATTATGGGCCTAGAAAGTCTGAATGGACCTAGTGTAACTCCACAGCCCTGTGGTCACCCTGCAGGACGTCCCCTGCGTGAGGAGAAAAGCAAACTTCAGACGCCTGCTCAGGCCTCTGGAAGTCCTGGGACACCTAGAAACACCTCAGTGAGGCTTCAGATTTACTGCTGGACATTAATAGCCAAGCTGGGTATTTCCCCCCATAAATTAGGGAAATATATATATATATATATATATATAT